GCACTGTGTCTAAAATCAAGCGAGCAGGTTCGATTCCCGGCGAGAAAGTGACAGTAACAATTTTTTTTTGTTATTTATAGTGAATAATGTTAATAAAAAAAATTACCGATGCATAAAATTAAATTTCGATTAATAGGATAATTTATCCAGCCCTATTATGCTATCGAGTGTCTACCTACTGTAATCCTAATTTGCGACTTACGTAGAGTCAATTTCTCCATCACAAACCCTCCAGTTCATGCATTGGCATTTTTTATTAGGGTGCGTATTAGATAGTTTCCACTGCCCTTGAGGTTCATTCTCTTTTTCGGTAATTACGGGGGCGGATATAAATCTAAAGCCTGGATTTCTAATTATAGTGGTATCCCAACACGTAGTTAATTGCACCACCAAAAGGGTTATGAAAACACTAATTAAGAGAATATTTCTGTTCATTATTTTATCTAAAAAGAAAAGTATGCAGTTATATGTGTTAGTACACATTTTTAAACTCCTTTGTGTTTTTAGTTTAAAATTTATTTAAATTACGTAGTCAATAAAAAAAGAAATCGGATTTAAATTCGTTTAAATCTCAAAGCGTTCAAACACACAAACATACACACATTACACTTACATACGTGCGCAAGGAGTTTACTAAAAGCTGCAAGTAATTTTAAAAGCAAATTTCGCTTAGCATTCAGCTAGCTATTCGACGAGACCAGTGGTGACTCGTCCGGTACCTTTTCTTTTAGAAAAATGGAAATGCCAAAAATCTATTGTTTTAGAAAAAGATATTTTTGTTATGCAAGTGAAAAACAATGTCCTTTTTAGTTTTTGTTTTTTTTTTGATACGGTGTGGTCAAAACACGTTTTCGAAGGGAGGGGAGGGGTTCGGTGTTTAGCGTACTTAACCTAACGTAACTTGAACTGTACACACATCATCATTATAAGGTCATCAGTCCTAAGACTGGTTGGACACGTACCTCCACTCTTTCCTATCCTGAGCTAAACTTCGCATTTCCCTAAAACTAGAACAACCCACATCCTTAACTATTTGCGAACAGTAATCTAATCTAGGTCTACCTCTCTACTCCTCTTAACTCCTGTTTCTGCCTCTAATATGTCTCTGACTAGACCTTCATGCCTGAGAAGGTGTCCTACCAACCTATCTCGCCTATTTTTTATTGACTTCCACAGAGTCGTCTGTTCTCCTATTCTTTCCAATACCTCTTCATTTCTAACCTTTTCTACCCACGATATTCTCATCATCCGCCTATAACACCACATTTTGAACGCTTCTAACCTTTTCTTTTCCGCCGCTCCCACTGACCATGTTTCGCACCCGTACAACGCCGTGCTCCAAAGATACAATTTAACAACATTTTTCGAATTTCTAATTTAACCGTTCGCGAGCATAGAAGTGACTTCTTTTTATTAAAGGCGACACGACCCTGCGCTATCCTCTGCTTTATATCTCTACTACTCCTTCCATCCTCACTTATCTGACTTCCTGTACAACTGTACACACGGCCGTCAAAAAAAATATGCCTTTGATAGTGACTGTGGAATGATCAGGGAATGTTTTGGAACTAAAAATAATCAATATTCTACAATCAAACAAATAAAACTACCCATGTAAAATTAACCCACTGCTTTTCAGTCTTCAAATTAATTTAAATGTGGGCAAAATTACCATCTCAAATGCCCCCCTCCCCCATTTAAGCTTATTTAGTTACAGGATTAGGATCCTGAATATTCGGAGTATTTCTCAAATATTTCCCATTGTTGGTATTATTTTTAAATGATTGAACGTATTGACTTTGGGGATCCCTAACTGCCATCAGTGAGACGCCCCTGAAATGTCTTATTAATATAGGAGCTAGTCAGAGTGCCATTGCCGAGTTATCGATTTTCTTTTTGTTCGTTTTTCGCAATCGTTAAAACTTAAAACATTTTCGGTGTATAATGAACTGTCTTTAATTGTATGTATCGTAGGTACTATTCCTTCTTTTCATAACTATTATGAATTCTCAAATGTTTCATGTTTATTAAAGGCTAAAATACTGTTGAAATGTATCTACCCGTAATCTTAAATAATGCATAACAGATTCTGATTGATTTGCTACTTACTTAAAAAATACAGGTTTACAATGTTTTGCGTATGAATATTAATAGAGAATTATTAACACTTGTAATAGTTTATGTCGGTAATTAGTTTTTGATGTAGGTGTTAGTTTTTGAATTTTTAATACTGAATGTGGGCGCTTACTTATGCAACCAACAACGCTACGGTGCAATAACGGTTTCATAGTTTAAATCTAATAAGAATTAAAAGTAAAACGTGAACTTTTTGTACTTTTAAAAGTAAAATTACATTACATTAAGTAATAATTGCATTGTTTGTTTATACGACTATGTTCGCACCACCCACATGCAATGCTAACGAGTAAAGTAAATACGGTCATATCGTTTATGTTTCCTCAATTTATTTAAGTTGATCATCAGAGAAATTTAAAAATAAAATAACATCCCTACCTAATCGTTAGGAATAAAATGGGCAGCTTTTTGACTTTAATAGCTGATCTTTGTTTTATGTATAAATGGAAATATAAAAGGTGAATTTTTGATTAATATCTAAAAATGTAAATGCTTACATATTACGCCAGTAAAACTGAAAGCAAATAAATAGGTAGGTATGACATACTTCTGAAGTTAATGAACTTATGATGTGATTCACGAAAATAAAGCGCACATTTAGAAATTCCGGCATTTGTACCACATGTGTATGTTATAGCTGTTCGTATATGTATGTATAGAGTGATCATAATTAGTACCCGATGTGGATATGTTTTAATAAGTTTCTTTGTTATGGAGATTTTTAAGAACGAATGTTCGTACGAAATGAACCCATTAACATTACAAATCATTTTAAGATATAATATATTCTTGGTACCTACTTATCTGCATTAAATTTCGATTTAAGTAACATAATATATTTTTATACAGTGTGTCAAGGAATGATCTTATTCCTTGGGACACGCTTTATGTAATAAAAATTAATTTTGAAAAATTTTGTTTGGCTGATTGAATTAGGTTTGAATACAGTTGACGTCAGAACCGACAGGCGGATTTGTATGCAATCTTTACCGTTATATAATTTAATAGGATACACAATAAATAGAAATGTAAAAATTCAAAAAAGAATTTTTTGAAATGTATTTTTAAACAACTACGTACATAAGTACGTAGTAGAAATAATATATAAGTTAAAATAAAAAAGTAAAAAACAGTATGTAAATAAATAAATCACTTTTGTAAGTTACTTCTACTATTTCACTATGTTTTACAGTTTATACAACAAACAAGCCGAATTAAGTTTCTCGTCTCTCGTAATAATTTTGAAAATTCTTTTCGAGCAATCGGTTATGATTATGAAATTTCGGAGCTGAATATAAGTGCTGATGTTTGAATAATATTATACCGGTTCCAGATACTGTTAGGGATATGAAGTTATTTCCCAATTATTATCCGATAGTTTTGGATAATTTTAGATATTCGGTTTTTAAGGAACTGTAAAAATAAAATACAAATAGGTAATGATTTGACTGTATTTCTAGGTTATCATTTGGTTCTACAATCCCAGAAAAAATAANTACGCCGGGATTCGTTTTCAGCAAGTAGATATCCACACAAGTGGACCTTGTTGAAAAATACGTAATCCTAAAATGTAGCATCGTGCTACAGATGGCGTTCACTGTGCCGTTTGTAGTATTTTCTGAAACGCACTGTTAAGACAGCAGGTAAAAGTTAGTCTGTGTTCTGTCGGAGTTGCCTACGACGCGCTGATGAGATCCAAAAAGATCGAAATCGCGATCCGCGTCTGGCAGTTTCGACAGAATACAGACCACTTCGAATTATTTTAATTCGCTTCATAATTTAGATTCTGCCCCTATGTGAAATTATTCCAGTCTTTTGTATCAGATTCGGTTACGGTTATGAATCTCCATCATATCCCTGGTAATAATATACAGTCAAAACATTCCTAACTTGAACCTCCAAAATCCAATCAGTTATGTTCTAGTTATAGAGGAAATTCGAGTTAAGGGAAGTTTCTGCTTTACCCTCACATTTTTAAATTTATTTTTATATCTAAGACATCGCTTCTGCGTTGACCTACCCTTACCTCGGACGACCAAGTCAAAGTAATTCGTTCGTGTTGCCTTTTCCTACTGTAACCTTATAATCTTAACCTAATATTGAGACACTCGAATCTCGAATTAGAGGAAAAAAATACTTAGAAATACGGACAAATTCACTTTAAAGGGTTTAGAAATAATGTAAATATATGTACGTAAAAAATATTGGAGTTAAAAAAGATTTCTAGCCATAGAAGTTCAAGTTACATGAGTTCGACTTTACATTGTATAACACTGATAAAAACGTTATTTGATTAGAAGCTACTAGTGTTTACACAGGTGTTTATTGCTTCGGTGTCTATTCCAGTTTATCTGATTCGTTTGTTGACCGTTAGAGTGTATGTGCAAACAAAACACTCACCCTGAGATTGAGCTGAGAAATCATTAAATTTCACTTAAAATTAAATCCACATGACCAATAATGAGTTAATATTATATATGAAAGAAATTATGAGTTCTGTCAGCCCAGGGCAAAGTAGTATTACTTAGTTAGTATTAGCAATTTCTTATGCTGAAGTGTACGATGTGTTGCATACCTATTTACAAACAATTCCTTTAAATTTAATTTTTCAAACAATTTTTAACAAAGAAAGTGATTAAACAAATGGTTCACAAAAGTGAATTTTCGATCACTCGAAGCAATGGTGTTAACACTTTCGAGCTCACAGTGACTGATAAGAGAGATAGGGAAACTAGTTCATAATAACTAAAATGTTTTCGTAACAAACGGGACCGTATGGTGTACCCGTTTGTCATAACTTGATTATTGAAAAAGATCCAATGTCCACTTCTTGTAGTTGACCTTAATCCTTAATTATTAATTAAATTGATCTTTATTTACAGGATGAAGTGTTGGCGATATCGGAAAAGGTCGTCCTCAGGTTAGACGATCTTATCACGTGGATTACTGTTGACACCGTGTGGACATGGGGTCGCGTAGCCAAGTGGAAAGGGGACGTTCAAGAACCTAAATCGCCCGATGGGGGTGAAGATGGCAACACGTACGAGACAATGTTCACTAGTAATGTTGAATTTTCAGACATCGAAAAAGAAAGTAGATTATTAGGTAAGACAATAATAAAATTCAGTAAAATTTGGTTATAACGTCACCGTTGTAACGAGTGTCGTTATTAACGGAAGTTAGCATGGTACCAATTTTCAAGACAAAGTGAATAATTTCGGGAACACATTTTGTATGTGGTTATTAGGCAGATTTTTAGCGTTGGTTTAAACGGAAATTTACGGGATTATTAAAAGCTGACGTTACATCAGAATTGTCGCTATAACCGATGTTGTTGTAATGGTTAGTATACATCGCGGTAGCTATTTACGCATATAAAATACTGTTATAAAAAATTTTAATTTATGGTTTATTGCCAGGGTTATACAGAAAAAAAATTAACATACCTATCACTAGGGTACCATTTTTCCTGATAATTTTTATTTTCGATTATATATGAAAATGTATTTGTTTTTTATGCTATTATAGCTTAATTAACAATTAAAAAGAATCAGAAAAAAAGTTTTTCCTTAGTTTTCGTTTTTAACTTCGTCGCCTTTTTCCGTGTTAAGTAAGGATAATTGCAATGCAACAGTACTATTCTACACTGACCTATGACAATGACTTCAACAACTACATACATCATACAAACCTACAATGTCAAAAGAAGAAAGAATTACTCAATGCTGGCTGTAACGTAAACATCGGCAAACACACCTAATCTAACCTAACAAATAAAAAACAATGCATGAGTACAAAATTACAAAATAAATACAATACGGATGCTGCTAATTAGTAGCTGCTCGAATTAGGCGTTGCAATGCCGTATTTCCCTGCGTGATTCTATCAGGGCCGGACTAGCCCTTGCCTATACTTTCAATTACGTCTTTCTCGAAAATGGTGGACTTTCTGACCACCAAACATTCACTTAATTTTCTTGCTTTATATTGGCTTATCAACCCCTACAAGTTTGCTACTTAGAAACATGATTTATATACGTATGATCATTAATAAAAATAGTAAGATATTTTTATCGCCAGTTTATTGTCTTTGGTTGCTTTACTTAGTTTTATAAATTTGTATAAGTAAATATTATTTGACACATATACATACATAAATATAAAAATACCAATATAATAGAATTATTTCTTGGCTGCAGTTCTTCTGTAAACGACTGTTTGTATTTCCGCTCTTATACAGCAAACTTGAAGGTAGTGTGAACCGCACACAACTCTGAAAAACGGAAAAATTAAATAACATATATAATATGTATATCATTTCTTAAATAGTTAACCAATAGGCGAGCGGGACACCCCCGAAAAGTGCATTATATAGCGAGTTGATAACCAATCTAGCAACGATTAATGAATTATTTCGATTAAACGATTGTTAAGATAAATCAAAATAATTTATTTAGATTTATCGTTTACTAATCGATTATTAAACATAAAAATGATATTTATAGTAGAGATACTTTGAATTTTGAATACCCACTGCAGATAATTTCAAATTTACATACCAGTACTTTACCAATAAGTACCTGAGAGTATTGCAGAATTATTAAACCAATATATAATAAATATTATTAATGAGATACTTATATAACCTCAAATTAATGAAGAAAAATTGTTACTGCTGGCACTCCTTTGCTGGGAATTACTAATACATTAGTGGTAGAGCACTGTGTCTAAAATCAAGCGAGCAGGTTCGATTCCCGGCGAGAAAGTGACAGTAACAATTTTTTTTTGTTATTTATAGTGAATAATGTTAATAAAAAAAATTACCGATGCATAAAATTAAATTTCGATTAATAGGATAATTTATCCAGCCCTATTATGCTATCGAGTGTCTACCTACTGTAATCCTAATTTGCGACTTACGTAGAGTCAATTTCTCCATCACAAACCCTCCAGTTCATGCATTGGCATTTTTTATTAGGGTGCGTATTAGATAGTTTCCACTGCCCTTGAGGTTCATTCTCTTTTTCGGTAATTACGGGGGCGGATATAAATCTAAAGCCTGGATTTCTAATTATAGTGGTATCCCAACACGTAGTTAATTGCACCACCAAAAGGGTTATGAAAACACTAATTAAGAGAATATTTCTGTTCATTATTTTATCTAAAAAGAAAAGTATGCAGTTATATGTGTTAGTACACATTTTTATTTAAAAATTGTAATGATTTATTTGCTTTAAATCTTATTATCTTATTAATCAATGCACTTTATATAACGTAAAAAAAGCAGTGCATTCGCCGGGAATTGAACCCGAACCGCTCGCGTAGTTAAAGATTTCAATACATACAAGTTCGAGTTGTATAAATTTGACTGTATTTAACTTTTAAGGTATAAATTAGTTTATTTTTATAAATTTTGGTTTAGTTTCTGATTTTATTATTCACAACTTGGCCAGACTATGTTAATAGATGTTTATCTATTTGAAATTTATCAAAATACACATATAGTGATGAACAAACTTACCTTTTTATAAAGAACTACTTAAATATAACAGGTTCACTTCTAGCCCCGGTTTGCTTGGTAAATACGGAATCCATTCTTTTAATACGGTTCTTACCTACTTATATACGAAAAAAAAAATTAAGATAAGCATACAAATCAGTAAATAAACCTACATTCCGATAATGGTTATACATTGCATTCATTATCTGTAGAAAATTATTCACCACAATTGAGTCCCTATCCTAATATTGTAGCGTATTGAAGACAGTGGCGTAACGAAACGTTTTGAATAGATGCTCTGGGGTGGAAATAATGATCCACAAAAAAGATTCAAGTAAACTTTTAGTGTTTTTTTTTTCTTATTGTTTACATGAATTACCTTTGTTGTGCTTGAGAAAAACGGATATTAAAAAAGAGCAACAGTTAAAAGGAAATACGTCAGTTAAAAAATAACAACGTAATTGGTAGTGGAATTCTTTATGGAATACACAAACTGTCAAATAGAAAATAAAACGATACATTTAAAGAAAAAGAACACTCATAATTATGAGAAAATAAAAAAAAATTAAATTGAATAATTCACTTGTATATTCTCTATTTCTTCTCTTATTTTTATAATGGTGTGAAAAGTCAAAGCATATTGTAATTAAAAGTTGTTTTATTTAGAAAAAAAACACGCTTAAAAATTAAAAAAAAATGNACATTTAGTAGAACTTAAAAATTGTGGGGCATACGACCTAAATTGTACTAAAAGTTCGTGGTAAAAACCGTTCGACGCTGATCGCGATTTCGGTTTCATTGGATATTATCAACAGGTACAGACTCACTGTACGTGCTGCCTTAGAGAGCGTTTTATGAAATACTACAAGCAGCATGGTAAACGCCATCTGTATTATATAGCTACTTGTAGTGGAATTCAAAAATGTTCAACAAGGTCTATAAGGATATTGTCCATTAGATTTATAACAAGTAATGTAAAAAAATTGATTAGCCATTACTTTTGTAAAAAAAAATAATGGTGGATTGAAATACTTCTGGTACTCATCATAAAAGTAAAATATTATTTTCAATACTAAATGAAAATCAGACACAACAAATTAAATTCGAATAAGTATCAGTACCGGAGTTCTAGTTACTGTTTTAAAAGAAAATATTTAGGATAGTCATTATTTTCGAATAAAAAATGATAGAGTAAATTCTAGAAATAATTTATTAGTGTAGTTGTAAATTGGAATTTAAAATCTGACCCTAGACAAGTCCGATTAAAAACTGAAACAGATATGAGGTTCAGGGTTAGGTTTGGAGTAATCACTTCTTAGATTTTTGGAAACTTATTGACATAAACAAGAGAAACTTGGAAGTATGAGGTCAAAAATAAAAATGCTCACAAAGAAATTATCATAAAATAATAATAATAATGAACATACTTATGTACATATCTATATATAATTAATAAATAAATAGGAAAAAGTTAAACTAATTAAACGTCAAAAGGTACATATTTACCATTTCTTGAAAGCAAAGCATGCTATATGAAATTGCATATATGTATAAACGAAGTTTAATAAATTAAGTTATGTTTAGCTCTTTCTCTTGCATTTTCCAATGTACTTTTCTTGAGAGCTTAATGTTAAATTATGCATGAATTTCTTTACGTGAGACGAATTTCCGGTCGATTGAAACATTCTTCAAAGATTTCGTTGCAAAATTAAAATCTTATACAAGAGAAACTATTAAAGACAGTTCTTTTAAAAAACTGGGGATGAATATTCATTATTTTTTTGGACAAACAAAATAGGGGTCGGCCATGCATGTGTTAAGGTAACACATTTTCAGTAATGTTGGTGCCCCTCGCTGATGTCAATGTAAGATAATGTTGAAAAAAATGCATAAGATACATTTGCTTATAATTACGTATAGGTATGTAAATTAAGAAAAAATCAATTTCAAGGGTATTTCCGATTATAAAATTTTCTGCCCTTTGCATTGGTGGGGTCAAAAATACGCATTCCCATTAAAAGAAATTAAATGATCTTTTAATTATCTTGATGGTTACCAATTGTATGTCCTTTTGAAAACATTTTGTTTTGTCAATAAAGGTATTTGGGATATTTCGTTGTTCTTTCAATTCAATTTTAATTTTTCGATTACAAAATTTACAATATGTATTCCCATTTAAAAAAAAGTGATTTGACCTGCAAATGACATTGAAGGTTAATATCAACGTCACATTAAAGGTGACCAGCTGATTTTACCTTCGAAAGCACACACCTTTTGTCTAACACTTCTTCTAAAATATAAGATGTAATCAGAATAAGTATATTATTGTCTCAAGATACATAACTCGCCTTGTATTAATTGGTTGACTGGTGGATATTTATAAAAATACAAAAACATGTTAGTAATATTATCTATAAAAGAAATTATAAGCGCTGTCAGCACAGGGCAAAGTGGTATTACGTAGTTACTATCAGCAATTTCTTATGCTGAAGTGTACAATGTGTTGCATACCTATTTACAATTAACTCCTTTAGATTTAATTTTTCAAACAATTTTTAACACAAAGAAAGTGCTTAAACAAATTGTTCACAAAAGTGAATTTCGACCACTCGAAGATCACAAAAGAAGAGCTCACAGTGACTGATAGGGGGGAAGAACTTGTTATTTTTAATGAAAAATTTTGTACGTAACATTGTTTCGGCCACCTATCTCCCCCTTCTTATCAAAAGGAATAAGAAAAAGGTGAACTCCCTTAATATTAGAATCTGAATTCATTTTGACATACATTTTGGATGCGACATAATTCGCCACCACTGCGTAGAAAACTGTTACAAAACTTAATCCAATTGATGTCACACTTCAGCATATTTATTTTATGTAAATGTGTTCAAGTATTTGGAAAATCCAAACCGATAAGTTCGATTGTTATACAAATACGAATTTCGAATCAATAGTTAGTATAGTTTCTTATCAGTTTTGTATTGTTTGTTATTATGCGGGTTCTTTAATTTCCTTTGCTTAATGGGATGGTACATTAGGTGTTATGGGAATAAATTTGGTGCATTTTTTAATATTAAGGCAATCTTTTATCCTTTGTACATGCGTGTAGTATAATTTTACTTCTGTTAGGTACGAATAACAATGACAGTAAAGAATGCAAAATTTTATCTATTGTATATGCTAATTTGTCAAGAAATAGGAAAAAAATTAGATGTGTTTCAAAGTATGATAGTTATCCTTTAACCGTTTATTGCAGATGAAGATACAGGCTCAATAGCGTCTGTGGTGATCCTTAGTTATCCCCAGTATTGTCGTTATCGTGCAATGATGAAGAGATTGGATGGGGTTGAGCAAGAGTTCCTCAATAATCTTCGTGTAAAGGTGTTAGGAGGATTTGCGAGTTCGAAAAGGAACACAAGAGTCCTGTTTTGCCGCGACACATTCGATTATCCCGAGTTAGAGGGTCACGAGCTATTGTGCAATCATCTGGCACCCAAACTGAAAGGAAGACCTAGAGGGAAACGGAAAAAACGGAGTGTTTCACCCGGATCGGAAAGCAATGAATCTGAATGTTCAGTCTCTGCAACAGTTAATTTCAATGCTAAGGTAAAAACGTTTTTTTGATTCATAAAATTTGAAGTTTAATAGAGTAAATAAAAGGTTACTGGTTGGATTAATAAGAAGTTAATTTAGAATCGTAACATCATAACTAAATTAACATTAGGATGACTCAAAACTTGAATCAGAAACAGAAATAAGTTGCAATTGAAATTAGAATGATCTTTTAAACCTAAATCAAAACCAACATTGGACAAGAATCAAGATTAACTCCATAAATATTAAATTAAGATCAAAGCTAAATCAATACTTAAAGGGTTACAAAAATATGAAAGCAATTTACATTACTCATTACTTTTGTAATAAGTAGGTAACAAGAACGTTTAATCAGTAGTAGCAAATACCAGCTAACAACAAATGGCGATATTAAATGAGTATCAAGTAAATACAAGTAATAGCGTGGTAAACGCCCTCTGTAGTACATTGCTACATTTAGTAGAACTTAAAAATTGTGGGGCATACGACCTAAATTGTACTAAAAGTTCGTGGTAAAAACCGTTCGACGCTGATCGCGATTTCGGTTTCATTGGATATTATCAACAGGTACAGACTCACTGTACGTGCTGCCTTAGAGAGCGTTTTATGAAATACTACAAGCAGCATGGTAAACGCCATCTGTATTATATAGCTACTTGTAGTGGAATTCAAAAATGTTCAACAAGGTCTATAAGGATATTGTCCATTAGATTTATAACAAGTAATGTAAAAAAATTGATTAGCCATTACTTTTGTAAAAAAAAATAATGGTGGATTGAAATACTTCTGGTACTCATCATAAAAGTAAAATATTATTTTCAATACTAAATGAAAATCAGACACAACAAATTAAATTCGAATAAGTATCAGTACCGGAGGTCTAGTTACTGTTTTAAAAGAAAATATTTAGGATAGTCATTATTTTCGAATAAAAAATGATAGAGTAAATTCTAGAAATAATTTATTAGTGTAGTTGTAAATTGGAATTTAAAATCTGACCCTAGACAAGTCCGATTAAAAACTGAAACAGATATGAGGTTCAGGGTTAGGTTTGGAGTAATCACTTCTTAGATTTTTGGAAACTTATTGACATAAACAAGAGAAACTTGGAAGTATGAGGTCAAAAATAAAAATGCTCACAAAGAAATTATCATAAAATAATAATAATAATGAACATTTCGTATAATATAAATACTTATAAAAATGTACAGTTAAATTGAAAGACTGTCCCTTTTTTCGAATTCGATTAAAATAAATAAGTATGTAATTAAGTTCTTATTTCAGAAAATTACATCGGAAGGTAGGATAAACGGTATCCTTTCGCCTTCATGTAGCAAAAGCTCAGCTACACGGAGAAGTACGCGTTCGTCTGGAAGTAACGAGAGTAGAGAATTTGTGGACAAACTTTCGGCGTTCATGCGATCAAAACGGATGCCCCTGAGCAGAATACCAATCCTCGGATATCGAGAATGTAAGAGTTACAATCTTATTTCTTATTCTCTTTCGTCTTCCTTTTTATTGTTATTAACGACATCTTTCGGTCGTCAATTTGATTTTTATTTTATCCTTTTCATTTGCACAGTGAACCTGCACGCTTTATATACGAAAGTCGTAAAATTGGGTGGATATGAAACAGTCACCGTTAACAGACTATGGAAGTCCATTTTTGATGACCTGAGTGGAAGTTATACCAGTACTAGTGCCGCCACCATTATCCGAAGGCATTATGAAAGGTAAGCTATTAATGTATCTTTTGTATGAGACGTTAATAAACTTTTTATATGCGTATATTTAGAGATTTATGTTTATTTAATTAACTACTCTCTTTCCTTTTACGGTTCCGTACCTCAAAACAAAAGTCAGAATCCTTTTTAAATTACACGGAAGTTTGAAGGTTTTCCGTTCCTGTAACCACCCCAACCCCTTTTATTAATAATTAAGCTAGAGACTTGACAGGCAAAAGTACTATATGGCAATTTAATTTAGAAAAGTTTCAAGTTTATAAAAATGTTTTTATTAGAAGCCCCACTGAAAGACACGAAAAAATGTCTGTAATTAGTAAACCAGTTATTTTCTTACTTTTATACAACTTGGCAAGCACTTTGATATAAATTCTTTCTTTTTAGGAAGGTTTTTTAAAAGGACTTGTTCGTTCGTTTAAATTTACATTTTCTTTGTAATGTATTTACTTACTTTCTGAGAAATTATTTCGAAATTACTTAAAATAATGTCCCTCCTTTTTCAGCTATAGACTGTTTATTTTTTAGGCTTCTGTTGCCTTACGAAAAGCACATGAAAGGCGAAGAATTCAAACCGTCTCGTATAACAGAAACTCGTAAGAAAAGCAGCTCTGGAAGTTGTAGTGACGCAGAGGCAAGCGAAAGTACTAACAGTAGCGGAAATTGCACCCCGGTACCACAACCGAGCACTTCCGGTGTTTCGCATTCATCATTTTCAGATACGAAGGTAAGTAATTTTCAACAAGACTTCAAGAAAACAACTTTTTTATCTCCTTACTTCTTACGTCTTTTGTTTCAGGAAACATTCTCTGGCAAGGCTGAGGGAAAAACGTCATCCCTTAGGAGCATTCGAGTCAAACCCGAACGTCTACGTGACGGATCGAACAAGGAGAAGACTGTGGACACTAGTGACAGTGATCGTAGTGAATCGTTAGAGTCTAAGAGCGTAACAAAAGTGACAATAAACCTAGCAGGTGACGTGACGGTTCAAAAATCGAACGTGGAAATTAAGGAAGAGGTAGAAGACAAAGACCTCGAACAAAATCAAACCCCTGAGAGCGATCGTTTAGTTCAAATCGATGTCAAAAAGGAAGAAGAAGACGGCGAAGAAGAGGACAATAAAAAAGAAGCAGATTATAAAACGCCCAGTCCGAAGAAAGAGTTGTCATCAAACGAAGACGACAGGAAACACTCTATTGATAGTTTAGAAGTGCCATGTAAGAACGTAAATGTTGTGGCAGATGATGAAAAGCCAGAATCAGAAGACACGTTACTTCATGCAGTTAAAAAGCGCAAATTGGATATCTTGAAGGAGGGCGGACTCGAAGTAACCCCCGTCAAAACGAGTAACGTTCAAATCAAAGAGAACAGGCCTTCAGTCATCCAACAGAACCATCCAAATTCACCCCATCTAATGAATACACAAATATCCGTCTCTTTAATGCCCGAAAACAAAGTCGAGTCCATAAAGATACCCACATACCAGAGGAGAAATAGCACAACAAAGAAAGATGTCGTTTCACCCACATCGAAAGACTCGTTCCTCTACCAAAATGGCAAAAGTCCACCCATAGTTTTACAGTCCAGATCGATTTATTCTTATTCGGAAAAGACAGTTTATGGTAACCCAAAGGACTTCAGCAGCGTCACTGTGGCTCACACCCCGTACACCCCGAAATATTACGGCCACAGTGGCGGGGACATTCTAGATTTGACTGTCAAAAGTCCTAACAAACCGGTCAGCGAGATAGAGCGGATGTCAAACGTGGTTATTTCATCTCAGCTGTTGTCCAGCATAAAAGATATAACGTCCAAAAGTAATACCCAAAAGAATCAGCCGTCCTTACCCCTTCTTGGTGCGAAGATCGGTTCTAATCTTGAAATAACTCTCGTTGGTCCCAATGCGAACGGTTCAAAACCATCACCGTTTAAATACAACGGTATAAGCGCGTATGAACCTCTCGTGAAAATTCCTAATGTTCCTCAACAACAACAACCCTGCAACAATAGCAACGAATACCCTAAAGTGAATTCCTATAGTAAACGAAAGGGTGGCGCAAAGATCGAAGAGAATGGCCGGTATATCAATTCCATCCCCGCCTTCCATCATCAGGCCTTGCTCTATAGAGATAGCAGCAGAATATCATCCTACCATAGTAACAACAACAACAATAATAATAATATTAATAGCAACCCCCGTCATCATTATCATAGTAGGACTTCCAGTAAATCTGAGACGAATAATAATAAAAATCTCGGTGGTGTTAGTGCTGGCGGTGGTTATGGTGTGAAACAGGTACCGTCGCCGTCGTCACCCCTGTTGCCGAGTTATTTGAACCCTCTGACGTCACTGACGAACAAAATGATCGCGCCCTACCCTCTGGCTGCCATCGACCCCGTATACTACAGCGCGCTGCAAAATCTGTATCCGCACGGGGCGCTTCCGGCCGTTCCGCCCTTTTTCCCTACCCGCGAGCAAATGCAACTCTACACGGAAATGATGAGTCACAGTGCGCAACTGCGATATCCGTTTCCGTTCTCGCAAGGTAACAGCCAATCAACGACGGACAAAAATTCGAAGCAGTAGTAGAGCATTTTTTAATGCATCGGATCGTAACTCAATTAATCGTTCAATTGTTAGGTGGATCGAATTGGTTTTCGAAATATGTGCTGTATATTTATTCTCGTTAAAATTATTGATTACTGAAAAAAAAAAATGAAAAAATATTGCTTCCATTTGTCTGTAAGTTCTAGATAACGGTTGAAAATATGAAAAAAGTTTATAGAAGAAAGTTGTAGTGAATAACAATATCTGTGAAAAAGTTTTAGGAAGCAATTCGGTTATTCTTATAGTTTGGATCCTAGAGTGATGCTTAACGGGGAGATATTTTAGATCGTATATAAAAAGATTGAAAACAGTGCATTACTATTGTTTTACATCAATTTAATTAAATAAAATTCTAGGAAAATCTATAAAAAGATGAGGTATTGGAAAGTAACCTTTTATATCTCATGTTTTGGTCGCTGGTGGTCGTAAATAATAAGATATGAAGCAAAACAAGCTGAAAAACATCAATTTTTGGTAATAAACTGAGGATGGAAAAGACATATTTCACCCTCTTTAGAAATTCACTTTAAAACTTGTACTGAACTATATTCTATGAATTTACAAAAATATTTCGAAAATTAATTTGATCGATCTGCAATATCTTTTAAAGCATATCAGCATTTTTGCGGTACAGGCGGTAAGAACTGGCAGCAGATAGATATTGATTGATTGGCCCATCGGTATCAAAAAAAATTTTGCTGTTATAAGAAGTTATGTATTATTCAAAATCGATGAAGAACAGAAAAAAAGGTAATTTTGTATTGGCTGTGATTCACATTATTGTACTTTTTTTTAACACAATACCCTAATATTTGTAATCTGATATCTGATGTTTTTTCTGATATTTTTAAAAGATTTCTTCTGAAGCTAGTACTTGGGTACTTAACAAATACTTTAAAAACAGTACAATGGACTAAGAGTAAAAACGACACCCCTATCAGTGAGTTCATTTCATTAATTTTTTTGTTGTATTTATTCTTATAATTCATGGCATTTAGTTAATGGTCAAACATGGCTATATTTTAATATTTTCTCCAATTTTTTCGCGTATTGGAATATGTTTTATTTTATGTAATCTAAACATGAAACGTGTATCGATAATAATTGAAAAATTCAAAAAATGACCAAATTTAACCACCAAAATGGTTGTTTAACTATTGGGTTGATGTTATGAATTATCAAAATAAGTATGCAGAAAAATAAAAAATTAATAATCAAAAATTTTTATAATGTACCATTTTTATAGTCTTTTAGACCATACGAACAGAAAATGTATTTTTTTTAGATATTATGTTAGTACCTATAGAATATTAGCGTTTGAAAGCTACTGATTACAGACTTTTTTAAAACAAATTTAGTTTGAGGAGGCTTTTTAAAATATCAGTAAAGAAGAAGAAGAAATTCTTGTTGTGCGACCACAAAGGTAATAATTGTTATTGCCACTCTCACGTATACAGTGACTATGAAAAACATTTTTGAATTTTAATTAATTTTGAAGGTATTACGAAGAAATTATTATTCTTTAATTTAATAGTTACGTATTTATAAAGTACGTAAAACTGTAGTATCTTACAAAGTATTTCTTTAGATAACGACACAATTTCTTTTTAAAAAGAAAAGATCTATTAAGGGTAGTGCGAGAGTTTATAAAAAATAAATAAACTAATTAGTGTTACTTTGAAAATAAAATAATACGAATTATTTTTAAAATGTATGTTTTATACATATATGCAGGTGCACTAAAAAAAAAAGGAAAGGTAAATATAATAATTATTGTATTAAAAATCCTTAATTTTTCGTATTTCATAAAAAGTTCTGGTTAAGTTTTGATGAAAAGTTTATTATTTTAAATAATTTTGCATTGCAAAGAATGTAATAAATAACAAGAATTTCTTTTACAACAGCTCAGAACTTAGAGATACAGAACTGTATTTAATATAAATACTTGATAAATAACGAATGAAAAAATTCAAATTTAGAAAAGGGAAGATTCTACAAAATTGTAGAGAAAAATATTTTTCCAACACAGTTTTGTTAATTGTCGTGTTTAATAAATGAAAAATTGTCCTTAACAAAGAACAAACAATTGCACAAAACAATAACAATTCGTAAACAATGATAATAAAAAAGAACAAATGCTTTACTTATTAACAGTGGCTGTAAACGCGTTTTAAAGGTGCTAAAAGTGAGTATCTCATTTCGTAGAATATTTGTATAAGAGATTGATGAATTAAAAAGAAAGTACCTACTAACAATTAATTATTATTAATGCTCACCCATTAAGCGAAACAAGTACTGCACTGTATATATATTTTTTGTAGTNTAGAGAAATAGTTAAAAAAATGGCAAACAATGAAAAAAAAAAACTTTTTTGTTCATCTCAAGCAAATACATCCTACATACAATTACAAAGGTGGATACCAGTTTTACTCCAAGTTATCTCCATAAATGTTTATGAACAAGAATTTTTTAAAATTATAATTCATTTAATAGTTTACGACAAACAATTACAAAAATAAAAAACGTGTGTTTTAAAAGTTTACTTTTAAATAGTGTTAGTCTCTAAATGACAATATTGTCCAAGGGTGTAATTTTTGTGTTTACCACTTGTCTATTTACATTCTTAAGAACAAACGTTGTAAAAGTAAAATAGTAAATGATTTTTAAGGGAAAGTGCAATTCTCTGAAACGAAAAAATATTACTGATGGGCCATGCTGAGAAAAATGTGACGTTTATGTCTTTTCTTATACATATAATATGTGTTCATTTAAGTGTAATAAAATGTAGTATATAATTAGTGTTGTCGGTATGTATTAGTAGTCATTATCTAAAAACAAAAAAAATCAGAATATTTTCTCACCATGGTATTAATTAATTGTTCACTCTGTAAAATCAAAAATGTCTAATTGTACCAAAAAAAAAAGGTCAGTTACTCGAGATATAGAGAACATACGTAACATTTTAATTTTAAAACATTTTAGTAAGCAAGATTCGAGATAGAATTAGAAATTATGATTTGTAGTGCATACAATAAGAAATTTAATTCCAATAATTCAATACACGTAAGAAATTAATTATTATTTTTTAAATGATTCTCGATTTGGACAGTAAGTACTTTTCTTCCAGCTCGTAAAGTCCAATAAGTAGAGTTCTTGTTTAGTTATTTGAAATTTTCATGCATTTCCAATCTCGAGTAACAAATACATCATTAATAGACAGTACATAAATAATTTTTGATTATAAAATTGGCGTGTATATAAAATAATCGTATATTATTAAATACATTCGCGTATCCATTGGTTTTGTCTTATAATTACAATAGTTGTAAATATATAACGGCCAGATTAGTATATTAATTGTCTGTGATTTAATTGTATAAACCAAAACGTTTTATTGTAAATATGATTCCCAATGTTATAGTATATGATAGGTAATTAAGTTTTTAAGTTTTTATAATGTAAAACTATTACTTTTGTAAATGTGTTTGTTAGTGATTAGTTTTTATGTTTACACAATTACACCGCATTATTCAGTAATAAAGAAAAAATCATAAGTGCCATTCTTTCATTTCTGAGCCTTTTATTATTAACTTTACAACACTTTGCAATCAGTAGTGGCCTTAGAACATGCGGCGCCCTTTAAATTTTAAGTAAGCGTCCCTTTAAGGCCCCATATCAGTCGTTTCTAGATAAATAACATTTTTTTTAAATCTTATTAAATCGACTATTCTTGATGTATACAAATTAGAAGAGTGGTCGAAGTCTCAAATCAAAGCTCTCATTATTATCTACACAAGTACGCTTTTTTTGAATGAACTTCGTTTTTGTTTTATTAAAAAAAACCTTAAAACTCTTTAAATAAATTCCAGCCACTTAGTAAAGAGTTAGAAACTGCGCTTTGGGCAAGTTATAGTTTAGGATGTTCTTAAGAAAAGTGCGAAGCCCGATTTTTGTTAGATGTTAAATAAACAGAAATATTTAGTTTTTTTTTTTGTGGGAACTGCATGACCCAGAAAATTTAAGATAGGCAACCAATGTTGCTCGGATTAGGGTAATAAAAATAACAGTAGATATTGTGTGTTCAACCTATTATTTGGGACGTTCTTCTACAAACCAGGCAAATTTGCACAAAAATTGACTGACACATTCTCGACTTGCCTGAAATTTTATTCAATTATTCTATATTTTTCATAATATTCATTAACCAATAAAACGTTATAGATAACTAATCATTAATTTAGTTTTTTTATTTTTTTTTAAATTAAATTTGTAAAGTATCTGT